CCTCGTCTGGGCGCCCCCTCTGGACGTCGTCGCCGACCCCGCAGTCGGCGACCTGAAGCACCAGGGCGCTCTGTCGACTGCTGGGCGGCGTCCATTCAAGATGGCCGCGTCCTGGCCATCGTCGCAGGCCCGCCCTGCGAGACATGGTCGGCGGCGCGATGGGAGACCTTCGGCTCTGGGCGCGAAGGCCCCCGGCCTACGCGGGCGTGGTCCCACATTTGGGGCGCCCCCGTGGCCTCGCCCAGGGGGCGGGCTCAGCTGGCTCTGGCCAACGCCCTGTGCCGCGCGACGCTATGCCTGGCGCCGATTGCCGCTCGCTGGGGCGCGCCCGTGATCGCGGGGCATCCAGCCCATGCCCGCTGGAAGCCGCAAGCAGTCAGCTCCCGGGCGCCCCCCGAGGAGGAGAGGTGCATGAAGAACGCGAGGGAGTTGGCCGACCAGGAGTGGGGGAGGAGGAGGAGGAGATGAGGACGAAGACGCGGAGGAGGAGGGGGAGGCAGGGGGGGAGGCAGGGGAGGAGGCAGGGGAGGAGGGGGAGGAAGAGGACGAGGCGGCGCGCCGACGTGCGTGAGACCGCGCTCGATCAGCGCGTGTATGGAGGGCGCAGACGAAGCGACCGCGCTATTCGCCACCCGCCTGCCAGAGCTGGATCGCGTGGTGCACCAGACGCCGCGCCGCGGCAAATGTGGCCGCCGCGGCGGCCGCCGGGTCGCCCTCGTCCGCGTCGCGGGTGCGGCCGAGTTCCGCGCGGCCGAGTGCCTCTTGATGGCGACGGCCGTCGCGGGGCACTGGGGCCTCCTGCATCAACGGCAGCGTTGCGAAGACCACCCCCCTGAATGGGGGGCTATTTTTTCCCCGCTCGAGCCTTTCCTGGAGACTGGGATGGAGGCGGACTGCGCCGCCGAGCGCGTCTGGTCGGGGGGCCAGTAACCTGCCCAGGTGTGGTGGGCCCGGGCTCTGGACCGCTGGTGGGTTGCTCGGAGGCGCGACCCTGGCGGCATAGGGCAGGCTCACCGCGGAGGGCAACTGCCAGTGGGCCCTGGCATGCAGCGCCGCGGACGACTGGCTGGCATGAAGAGAGGGGGACAGGCTCCTGCATACCGCCGCAGCCAGGCCGAGGGAGAAGGAGCTGGCTGACTGACGCGAACGGCGCGTCGACGCGCGGGCCGTCCCACCATATGAGCGACATTCGATGCGCTTACACCATGGAGGAGCTTACGCGCGACACCGGCAGGGCATGGTCCCGGGAGCCCAGCGGTGACCGCGCGCGGGTCATCGTGTTGCTACTGCCTGGGCGCGCCGCTCGCCGCGAGGCGCCCTATCTGTCCAGTTTGGTGGTAGTGGCGAGGATCTTCGGGTTTGTCGCCGAGCCTGATCTCGGGGTTTCTGTCCTGCTGGCCCTCTCTGGACTACGCTTGGGGAGTCCACTGCGCAGCGGTTGGGGCGCCCAGGATCACGCTTTTCGGGCGCCCAGACCTCGCCGCTGCAGAGGCTGAAGGGGGGAATGCGGTGGCGACGAGGAGTGCTGCGGGCCCGCCAGAGCGGCCCGCTGATGGCAGCCTGATTTCGGGCATTTCGTCGCATGCTCGTGGGGGATTTCTTCGGGTCGTGGACCGTTGGCCCCTCTGCTGTGCTGACCCGGTGGGCGCGCGCGGGCTCGGGGCCAGCAATGTATTGAGTCGTTGTGGACCGCTGGCGCTGTCCTGTACTGGCCGCTTGAGGGCGCGCACAGGCTCAGGGCAAGCGCTTGCGTCGAGAAGATCTTGATTGCTAGTTGCCTGTGGTTGGCAGGAGGTGCTCCACAGAAAAGAAAGAGGCATCGCCCTGTCTCAGCTAGGCGGGTGCCCGGGAGGTCGCTTTAGTAATGGGGGTCGGACGTGCCCTCGAGGTTGGCTCTCGGGGTTAGGTGGAGAGCGGCGCTGGAGCGGGCTGCAGCGACAAATGCGATGGGATTTCGGATGATGCGTACTGCAAGGATGATACGCACTGCGGGGGGAGGCGATCGAAGAGACCCATGCCGGTGCGACGTGTGACTAGACGTCAGCTGACACTGACGCCACCAGTATCTGCTGGACTTGAGGTGCTGTGGGCCGGAGGAGGGACACGACGTGTTGCGGACTTTAGATGTGGGTGGCTGTATGTTTCGCGGGTGCTGCTGCCGACGGGGCGCAATCCGCCAGCTTGCGCCATTGGGGCTCTCTATGTGCCCCCTAGTGATTTTTCGGCTCAATCCAAGAGGGTGGCGCCTCTAACGCGTGGGAATAGCCTCGGACCGGGGGTGGCGCCCCCGACGAGCACCGTGACATGGGCGCAGCAGGACTAAGTGCATCAGCGACGCCGCCATCGCGCTGGGGGCCAGGGCATCGCCAGCCCTCTCCGCATCTAGCACGGTTCGGCCGCGCTGGGCGATCACGTGCTGGAGCGAGTGGCCAGGGCGTGGTGGTCGACTGCCCGCGCTGCCTGGTGCCCGGGGGGTAGGGCTGAGCGCGCCGCCTGGCGGCCCCCAAGACCGCCAGAGGTTGGCGCCCCCTGCCCCCGGCCTGCTTCCCAGGATCCCCTCTTCTTCGCTAGTTTGCGTCCTTGAGGAGGGGGGAGGTGGGGGATGGTGGGTGGGTGCCTGGCCTCCTCGACCCCCTCGGCGGGCCGTGGGCGCGCGGCGTCGTGGACGCGACGGCGACCTTTGCCAGCGCGAGCGCTACAGGAGGAGGAGAAGGAGGAGGAGGAGGAGGGCTTTTCCGGGCTTTCTCATGCCGGCGCTGTCGGCTCGCCACGGTGTCGGGGCTCAAGAGGCGGCAGTCAATGCAAAGGGGGTCAGTCAGAACGCCGGATCTCGCAGGATCCTGCGGAGCCAGAGTGCATTGACCCAGCGTGCAGGATCCTGCAGGATCCTCCAGGATCTTGCAGTCTCCTGTAAGGCCTGGCTGACCTGGTTGGCCTGGGTCAGTAGATCCCCGACGGTGCGCCTGAGGATGCGCAGCTCCCAGGTGGAGCAAATGTCGTTGCCGGCAACTTAAACTCCGAGCTGGCGACCCATGTGGAGCTTCCCATCGGGGCCGTGACACAACTTTCAAAGACTGTCACGCTGAGGGAGCCTGAGATCGGGATGACGACCCTGGCTCACAAGAGCAAGAGCGGAAGTACAGGCGGACTGTACTGAGATACAAGCGGCACTGAGGGCGGCAAGCCACGGCGCGGGTCCGAGGGCATTTCGTTGCCAGCTACGAGGTCCTTCTTAACCTGGGCGCAAACGCTCGCACGCTTCTTATATATATATATATATACACATTGACTGGCAAGAGGGATGAGGGAGGTTGGAGCCCAAACGGCATGCCGATGATGCCGAAGTTGTCGCTCGCCTTTAAGATCCCATCCGCCACGGCCAGGCGCTTGAGGTTTGATCCTGAGTCGTGCAGCTCGCCCCCCACGCTCAGCTGGACAAAACTGGAGTCAAAGTTGTCGCTTCTCAGGAGCCCTCGTCCAGCACGGCGAGCTGCACATGGCTGGAGTTGCTAACCTCGTCCACGACGACCCGCTGCATGAGGCTGCAGTTGTAGTTGGAGATGCTGCTCGCCACGGGGACCTTGTCCACCATGGCCAGCTGCATGACGCTGGAGTGGAGCTGTCTACCTTGTCCGCCACGTCCAGCTGCTGCTGCGAAGGAGGAGGAGGAGGGCGAGGAGGATGATGATGAGGATGAGGATGAGGATGAGCATGATGATGCTGCTGCTGATGATGATGATGATGAGGAGGAGGAGGAGGAGGAGGAGGAAGAGGAGGAGGAGGAGGAGGAAGAGGAGGAGGGAGGAGGAGGAGGAGGAGGAGGAGGAAGAGGAGGAGGAGGAGGAGGACTGCCAACTATGCAGTAGGCTGTCAGGGAAGGTGACCATCAGGGTAGACCTAATTGGGTGGTTGCAGTTTACCAAAACCCATGGCTGGAAGCCGCTTCCCCTGCAGGAAGGAGCTGTTATCCAGGATTTTTGAAGGTCCCATCCTGAAAGTCGCGAGTCTGGTAGAAACCAGTTCTTCGACTCAATTGGTTGCCGGGAATTGTTGCACATGTGACGCTCGCGCCCCCCCCCTGGCGTTCCCGCCTTGGTTGGCCGCTGATCCGAAGGCCACAGACTTGCATGATGAGGGTGTGTGCCCCAGACTCGGAGCCTCAGCCGCGACACCAGAGAAAAATGTGACTGCGTCCGACGAACGTAGCCGAAGTTCGAGCCATGGCCCTGGATTCGGGCCCCAAGAAGCGGAAACCACGCGGCTAGAGGTAACGGGGGATACCTGCCATTTCGGCCACGCTCGCAGGACAGCCCAAATTCTGTCTTATCGGCCACGCGTCTGGGACAACATTTAACAAAGTGTGATGGGAAGAAATCGGTGAGGGGAATTGTAAGTGACGATGAAGGGACATAGGGTGGACGTGGGATGAGAAGGGTGACGGTAGCGGGGAGGCGGAGGAAACACGTAATCCGCAAAAGATAGAACAGGCAGGAGGGGGAGTCCGAGGAGGGAGGGGGGGGGACAATCGACAAACAAGGGGCGGGAACGGAACTTCGGAACCCCGTCCACTGGACAGGGCTGACGTGCCCGACGGGTGAAACAAATTCGAGGGACCCCCTCGCCCATCGACGATTACAGCGGACCCGCTGCGTGAGGAAGGGGGGGAAGGAGGGGGAGGAGGCGGAGGAGGAGGAGGAGAAGGGGAAGGAGGAGGAGGATGAGGAGGAGGAAGAGGAAGAAGAGGAGGAGGAGGCGGAGGAGGAGGAGGAGGAGGAGGAGGAGGAGGAGGAGGAGGAGGAGGAGGAGGAGGCATGATGATGATGATGATGATGATGATGATGATGCTGATGATGATGATGATGATGATGATGATGATGAGGAGGAGGAGGAGGAGGAGGAGGAGGAGGAGGAAGAGGAAAACTTGGAGTAGGAGAACGAATGGGAGGACCAACAATTTCCCGATCCTCGAGCCCCGTGCGACTTCCGACCGCCCTGGGCAGGCCCGCCTCGTCGTCCCGCAGCGCCCCGCAGCTTCACGCGGCGGCCCAGCCCTGCCCCCCGCAACGCGGATACCAGCCAGCGCTGCCGACGAGTTCGCTGCGCCTGCACGCGGCCCACGTCGTCGTCGAGAGGACGGTCGTATCGTCGTCGCCGCCGAAGGGGGGAGGGGGAGGGAGAGGGAGGGGGTGGTGTTGCCTTGTCTTGGCTCGTGCCTGCTCGCTCGTCCGTGCTCCCGTGTGCTGCGGCCGCTGCACGTCAGTGTGGCCCCCAAAGCGTTCGCAGGAGAGGGAATAGGGGGGGAGGGGGGGCGGGGAGGAGGGGAACGACGAGGTGGATCAGGGGGAAAAGGAGGTGGAGGGTGGTGGGTGGAGAAAGGGGAGACGACGGGGATCGACGACATCAGATGGGGGCAGGAGGAGGCGGATGAGGAGGAGGAGGGAGCATAGGGAGGACGAGGAGGAGGCTAAGGAGAAAACTGATGATGATGATGCTGATGATGATGATGATGCTGATGTTGATGATGATGCTCATGCTGATGATGATGATGATGATGATGATGATGATGCTGATGCTTCTGATGATGATGACGATGATGATGATAATGATGACGATGATGCTGATGATGATACTGTTGATGATGATGCTGATGATGCTGCTGCTGCGGATGATGATTATGCTGATGATGCTGTTGCAGATGATGATGCTGATGATGCTGATGATGATGATTATGCTGCTGCTGATGATGATGCTGCTACTGATGATGATGATGCTTCTGCGGACGATGGTGGTGCTGTAACTGCTGATGCTGATGCTAATTATGATGCTGATGCTGATGATCATGCTGATGATGATGCTGCTGATGCTGATGCTGATGATGACGATGATTCTGATGCTGATGTTGATGATGCTGCTGATGATGAGGATGATGACGCTGATGCTGATGATGATGCTTTTGCTGATGATGCTGATGATGCTGATTCTGCTGCTGCTGATGATGATGATGCTGATGCTGCTGATGATGCTGCTGCGGATGATGATGATGATGATGATGATGATGATGATGATGCTGATGCTGATGCTGACGATTACGATGATGATGCTGATGATGATAATGATGATGCTGCTGATGATGCTGCTGATGCTGATGCTGATGATGATGCCGATGCTGATGCTGCTGATGATGCTGATGATGACGATGCTGATGATGCTGCTGCTGCTGCTGATGATGATGATGATGATTATGATGCTGATACAGATGATGAGGATGATGTGATGATGATGCTGCTGAAGCTGATGATGATGCCGATGCTGATGCTGGTGCTGATGCTGATGATGCTGCTGATGCTGATGCTGCTGATGATGATGATGATGCTGATGATGATGATGCCGATGAGGCTGATGATGATGATGATGATGTCGATGATGGTGATGCATCTGAAATTGCTAGTGATGCTGACGATGATGATGGCGACGATGATGATGATGATGATGATGATGATGACGATGACGATGAAGATGATGATGATGACGATGACGATGACGATGACGATGATGACGATGACGATGACGATGACGATGACGATGACGATGATGATGATGATGATGATGATGATGATGATGATTATGATGATGGTGATGCTGATGATGCTGCTGCTGCTGCTGATGATGATGATGATGATGATGATGATGATGATGATGATGATGATGATGATGATGATGATGATGATGCGGAAGAGGAGGAGGAGGAAACTATTTTGAACTATTTGACTAAGCACTGGTCGTGTGCAGGGGGGAAAAGGAGGGCTAGCCGAGGCCTCGCTGCGCCAACACAGCCTTGAGCTGAGCAGGCACACCCTCACGCCTCGGATACAAGCTTTTATCAGTACTTGCGAGGTTCTCCCGACCTTTTCGGGTAATGGTTTCGCAAGGAGCCTCTAAATGTCGGCCGATCAGGGTAGCATATCTGCCACAATTCGCACAACAAGCGAGACAATATGTATCCCAAGTCTGTGGCCTGTGGGAATGGTGGACAAGCTTACCCGCAGCCACCATGCTGTTGCCCCCCGGACCAACATCACCAGACGGGAGGAGGCTGTGGCATGGGGTCGCCACCACCTCAGCAGTTCTAGACGCAGGAACCATGACGAACCAACAACACACACCCATACCCATAGGGGGATCGGAGAGGGCTATGGGTGCGTGTTGTCGGATGGGGGTCCCCGCTCGAACGGGAGCGTTCCCCAGGGTCCGACAACCCGCACCCATACCCATAGCCAGTCCTCCTCCCAACGACCCCCCTATGGGTATGGGTGTGTGTTGTTCATTCGCCAAACCAAAACTTTGCAAACCTCGCACCTGAATTCACTGCCACACTGAACAAGCTGACGAGCCGAGGCAGCCACAGCACGAGAGAGGGCGGTGGGGGCGGGTCTCCTCTCCTTTGGGCAGCCTCTCGCCGCTCCAAGGGCCCGCAGCAATCGCCAGCTCGAGTGCCTTGCGAGCCCCAGCTCGTATCTAGGGGGCCACATGCGAACCCTGCCCCCACCCCCGACGATTTCAGAGGGGGGGGTAGGGGTAGGGTTCGCGTGTGGCCCCCCAGTATCAGCACCCCTGTGGCGTCCCACCGATCCGTATCCACCGAGTCGACGCGACACGACACCAACCCCTCTCCCGCCGCCCGACCCGCCCCCTCATCAGCCAGGGCAGTGCCCTGAGTTAGAAACGGGTCGGTATCATTCTCTGCTGCCTCCGTGTGCGACGGAATCCACTTGATCAACACATCGTCGGGGGAGCGATCTCCTAGGGCAACCCTGATGCGACCCCACAAGTCCTGATTAGAGCCATCCTTGGATCGAACTCTGCCAGACAACCATGCTCGCAGCAAAGGCTGATGATCAGTGACGAACACCATAGGAGCCTGCACCGACTCCAGAGCGATCGCAAATGACGTGTTGCTCAGCCCTCGGAACCGTTTGCCTTCTACCTCCGAGGACCGATCGAGCACCCGCAGCTAACACCCATCCCCCTTCAGAATCGCTCTTGAGCGCCACGACAGCAAATCCACACCGCCGCCTGCGCACATCCGAGCTGAATTTACCTCCGGAGCCGTCGCCGAATAAAACAGCCCGATCAAACTCGGGATGAGATTCGAGAGCTCCGAAGGAGTCAGGGCCATAAAACACCACCTGCTCCACAGGGTAGCGGCAGGCCTCAGGGGGGTGGCTCCAATGCAGGGAGGAATTCCTCTCGACCAAAACACTGGGCACGAATGGGCCTGAGCCTGGGCCTGGGGAAGCAAACACTGGGACTCATCGAACTCTTCTCCAGCATTCTTGCTGCAGATCCAGATGCGATGGAAGAGGGTCTCCTCCTCCTCTTCACACCTGGGGCACACTCGCGAGACTTGGTAGCCGCTGACGGCCATCCTGACCCGCGGCCACTGCCCCCCCGAAGCAACTGCATTGTGCAAACCTAAACTTTTCAAGCTCGTGATCTTTTTCCACGCGTTTGGCTTCCCACCGAGCACAAAACAAGTCACCCCCACCCTGCTCCAAGCCCCCTCCCTCGAAGTGCTCAGAAGCCTGGCGCCACAACATGCCATGAATATCGTTTATGAGCTCATCGAGCAATTCTGTGAAGTCTGCGTCGTGAGCGTCGAAAGCTGGATCGGAAGCCAAGGGCAAAAGCCAAGTCTCCTCGCCTTGAGCCGTTGGTCTGGACCAGGCCTGCGCCAAGCGAGGAGACAACATGAATCATATAACACAGCACTGCGCTGACTGGTCCTGTAACGCGCGCCCACCTGGTCTTGGCCTCGAGCAGACGGGGACGAAGAAACGACCACGCACGAATAACACGAAGATGAAGGGATGGGTTCGATGGCCACACCATCAGCCACTCGAAGACCGGTTGCCGCCTAATCTCAAGCGCGGGATCCTTCCTACCCATATGCAGCGACAAAATAGAAGTGAGACACCTCCCAGCCCCTTTGCCCGCAATAGATTGCGCGGCTTGACGACGGAGTTTTTAACAATCACAGAGGGGGGGAAGCCGCTGCACTGGTGGCCGTAGGAGGCCTGAGGAAGGGCCACAGTATTCCACATATTCTGAGAGATCCTGCTGAGCTTGGCAGATCTCCGCAGCTTACGAATTCTGCCAAAACTCTGCGCTGCCTTCCTTAAACGATCTTTAGATTTAGCCAGCCTGCGCGCCTTGCCTTGAGTCGTATCAGCCTCAAGATCAACAGCTGCTATGACCATTTGGCACGGCACCTCAAGACAGAGAAGGAAACGGCCCAGGTCTTTAGCTAAGCCTCAGCACGTACAAAGCAAACTGGCGTTATCGGAAATGTTAAGCCTGTATTCCCGAAACCCCTGGACCAAGGCCTCAGAAAACTTAGCAAAAGACGGTTTGACAAACCTCGGGTGCCCCTCACATCTGGCAATTGTGTCGTTTATGAAAGACCACAACTGCACACTATCCAAAGGTCTGACATTACGAGCTCTCTGCAGGATGGGAAACATAAACATCTTAGCGACTGGAACTCCAAGATGGGACCCTGCCACTATCGACCTTGTCGGCCAGGAGGAGGACGAGGAGGAGGAGAGGGATGAGGAGGAGGAGGAGGAGCAGGGAGGAACACGGAGGACGAGGAGGAGCAGGAAGGAGGGAAGAGGGAGGAGTGATGAAGGAGGACCAGGCGTGGGAGGAGGAGGAGGAGGAGGAGGAGGAGGAAATGGAAGTGGAGGAGGGAGGAGGAGACCTCTGATGGGGATGACGAACATAACGGTGTGGCGACGCATAACGATGATGATGGTGGTGGATGTGGGGGAGCAGGATGCGGAGGACGATGGGTGAAGGGGAGGACGGAGGAGGGAGGAGGAAGAGGACCAGAGGAAGAGGACCAGAGGACCAGAGCAACGATGCTGCAGTATACCCTCCCGTCCCAACCTCCCATTTCCCTGCAGACTTGCCTTTCACAGCCGTGGGCGTCCCCCCCTGGAAGGAGCAGCGCCCCATCTGCGATTCACACGATGCCTTCGCTTCGAAGGATCCCGCTTCCATTCTCAAGTCTTGCGCATGGCAAGTGGGCGCGAGACCATGCCCAAGCAAAATTTTAACCAGAGTGGACCCC